GATTATGCTACCCTTTTTATTTAAATTTATTCTTTCTCCATTCTAATTTTTTGCTCTCTGAAATGAGTTTTCACACTACTAGACTGGTAGATCTAAATGCTTTTTCATTTTTCGTGCTGTAATTTTTGCTTTCGGTTCAACCAACCTGGCCCATAATATTAAACCGAACAAAATTTGTCTTTTTGTTTGAGGTTACTTGTTATTTCCTTCAACGAAATAATGCTATAGAAATTTTGATTAAATTTTTGAAGGCTTGGAGAATACTTTAATTAGAATAAATTGGATTTTATTTATTGGAGTGTAATTTAACTCTGCTGCTTCTCTTTCAAATATTTTAGTCTATAATATAACCTTGCGTGAAACCAATATTTCTGACTGCCTAGTAACTAGCTTTGTCACTCAAGTAAAATGTTTTGTTGTGAGTTCATTTTTTAAAGTTTGTGATGTTTATTTTAATTTATTTAACCAGTTATTTTATGTTAAGGAATCCTTACCGCCTCTTTCCGTTTTCCCACCAGAATGCAAATTAGTTCGCATGTAATTAAGTGAGGATTTGAAATTGCTTAAACAGAGTGTGCTGATGGTGATTTTACACAGCTGTAAGCTTAAGAGTCAACTTTCCAGGTTAATTTATTCTGTGTAGCTTTTGGACATTTGAGATATTTAGATTTAATTTTAAAATTTAAAATTTTAAGTTGGTTTTTGCCATAAATGCTGGCAGATTTGTAAGCACCACGTGTGCCTTCGTTTCAATGTATTGAGTTTTGCACCCTTCCTAAATCTCTGTATTTCTCAATACATAGCGATAAATCTCTTACTGTCTTATTCAGGATTAGCCACAAGTTACAATTGGGAAAGGCTCATTCCTTACAGGTTTTAATAAAACACTATACCTACATTTTCATCTAGGAGCCACAGGACAACTGACTTTCAAACTTCTGACCATCGGTGTTCTCGTTAATTCAGCCAACACCAATTCCCTAGCCACAAACAATATTAATATTGTTTGTTGCTAGAAAAGTGAAGCCCTTCTTCTGCAATTGCTTTTGTAATAATGCTGCCATTTAGTTCAGTTTGTTCGTCATAGCGTGTAAGTCTGCAAAGAAAATGCACAAATACTATCAGTTTTAAAACTATATTTTATATCAGTTTATAAATTAAAGTAACCATTTTCTTATAAATATGATGGCCTCATTGAATATACATGAAAGAAGCAGGTACGTGAAAGCAGATTAAATGTAACTGAACTAATAAACTAAATGTTACAGCTGTTAGGAAGTTACTGAGAAGTTACAAAATAGAACACTATATCAAATTAGCCATACGGTAGACATATACCAAATTAACCATATTGTAGTCAATTGAAAATTCTTATATTTTAATGAACAGTAGTCAGTAAAGATGCTGTACTTAGAGCAGACGTCTAACTCACATGCGTCAATTAAAAATTAGACTGCCATAAAATGGCTAAGTCTTTAGCTTTATGGAAAGTAACTATATCATAAAATTATTGGAATACATTTCTTTCGATTATTTATGTTCACATCATTATCAGTAGCTTTAATATTTTCAGAAGTTATTTCAGAACATCCTGGTGTAACATTTGCTTGGAAAATCCCTTGTTTTATTTCGCGTAAGATAGAATAAATGCACATACCAACGAACGGAAGAGGAAGATTGCTTAATTCACGCAGGACAGTAGTAAATGGACAGAATGCCAGGACTTTATTGCGAGTGACACAAGCATAAACTTAATCGCACTATTACTTTGAATAAAGATTTAGCAAAGCGTAATATTTGAGCAGGAATAAATGAGTTAGATATATGCACAGTACCATTAATAAACATATATTGTCCTACCATATTACTGCATTAAGAGTAAGGGATTAATTAAATACGCGTTTGAGGTATATAAATTAGTGATGGCAATATTTCAAGGTACCATACGTCATAGAGTATACAAATTTCATATAATTGCGGTATTATTGCATAAGGGTGCGTTATAAGCTTATTTTAGATGTCATATATATTAAGTACTAGCGACCCGCTCCGGCTTCGCACGGGTATAAAATATTAATGGATATTTTAACAATGAATCGCAGCTCATAATCTTTTTCTGAAATTACATACCTCACCTTAAATTACGATTTTTGAAAATAATTTCCCTAATATTAAATTGATTTAACTCTAAATTTTAACCAAGATTTTAATAGAAAATTCTAATCCATAAATTATGGTTTTATTTAATCTAATCTTATCTAACCTTATGTACTTATAATTACTATAAGTGCGATTTAAAAATTAAGCTTAGAATAGAATATCATTTATATTTTAAAACTACTGTCATATAATTATTTATCATAACTTACTTATAATTAACTGATACGTTGTCGCGCTGAAAAGCTCGTTTTTATTAAGTATATTGTTATTTTGCTCGCTAGAGAGCTCCGATAATAAATGCGTGCGATCGCTGCTAAATTCAAAGGCTATAGGGAGAACCGCGGCCTCAGACGTGCTATTTATAGGCACGCTCCCGCCGGCCCGGCCGGTACGTCCCGCAAACGCTACGTCCCACAATTTTTAAATCTGTAGACCTTTTCAATGTGTACAATACTTAGTACATTATTTTGATAAATCTTGTAGGGTTCAGCCTGCGTTTGCAATGTAAGCTGAAAAAATGTAATTATTTACGACATCACATTGGAAACCTAAAAAATAACAATATTTCTCCACTATTTAATGGATGTTATTATACATATAAACCTTCCTCTTCAATCACTCTATCTATTAAAAAAACCGCATCAAAATCCGTTGCGTAGTTTTAAAGATTTAAGCATACATAGGGGTATAGGGGCAGAGAAAGCGACTTTGTTTTATACTATGCAGTGATTTATTTATACATTTCAGGTACAGAGAGACTAGATGACGAAATAGAACACTAACACCTAGATTGTAATAATTTTATAAAGGTTGGGGAATGTCGTTTTTGGAGGGGAATTCTTCAGAAGCTGTTCTTGAAAAAGATTGAAACACACCTTGTTCAATAATAAAGATACCATTTCTTGTGTACGTACATGTGAATTAACATTTTATATAATGCATGGATGCATGGTTCTAAAATCGTATCAAACGTCTTTCAGTATCAGAACGAAGAAATACAACAAAACTTGCGACAGCATATACCAGTCCTAGATATACATGAAAATTTTGGCATAGATTTCCTGACTCATCTTAAATTAATTTTACCTTGATACAAAATATGTTTTAAACTTTACTATTTGATTTAATGCCTTTTTTTTTTTACTTTTCCTTACTGCTTTAGTACTATCAATGTACCTTATATGTAGAAATGAATGAGCTACAAGAACCTTCTTCCTCTTTTTTTTCTGCATGTAATGACACCCACGTATACGTTAGTGATATTCGACCTTGCATTAGTGTCCATTTACCTAATAGACATTCCCTAACAAATTCTTTGTTTCCTGGGCAGAAGCAGTGGAATGTGGAGAGTTCTTTCTGTCTCTGGAATTTCTGAGTAAGAACGAAACATTGGGCGAAGTTGTACTCTCATAAACATGATTAAGGAAAGATTATTTCAAGAACGGTAAATTTAGTAATGCTGACAATTACTGTAATGAAATGAACAACCATTTGACATGATGGTTATTGATTGGAAAAACGGATGTTGTTTTAGGTTAACAAATTTCTAGTGGAAGTAATAAATGGCACGAAAGAAATAAAAAGAAAAATGTGTTAAAAAATCTGAAAGGTTTCAGATTTTAAATTACGTCCAAAGGGGCGCGTTTTTTTAACGTTTTGTGTGTTACCTTTATTTATAAATTACCATGTTCTTCGCACTTAAACCACATAAAATTCAATTCAACCGCAATATCACAAAATATTCAAAAATCATTAGAATGCCCAATAGACAGTCTCGCGCGCTGAAGATAAATTTTTTTTTTCTTTTTCCCCGTACTGTGTTGCCATTGTTAGCTTTGAAATAGTTGAGTTTTTTAATCAAAAATTTATCATTTACAAAATGTGAAACGGATAATAAAATAAATTCTAAATTCCAATTCGGGCTTGCGAGTGCCCATGTTCGGGTGGAGGATTGCGTTATTGAAAATTTGAAGGCTCTTGGTACCGTCGTTTTTTCACAATGCGGAAGACTTACATACATTTCATGCAGATGCTTCATTATTTAATTTCTTTAAATATAATGGAAGACGATAATAATTGGTGGAAACAGTTTAAAATGTAAACTTTTAACAAATAAGTCTCATGTAAGTGTAGTTTAACCTAAGGAAATTTAAAATGTCTGAGCCTTTCTTTGTCTATTAGCAGCAGTTAAAACCGATTGCTCTCAATCATAATAACAGCCACTTTGTGCTAATATAAGTGAAAAGGTAATAACAGAAATATAAGCTTCATGTACCTAAATCGATCGATTATTTGCTTCGATTTATTAATCGATTTATGTATAAAAGGTGAAAAGAAGTTATGAGTATTTCTCCCGCCTTCTTCGCATGCCTTCGTGGTGTGGTGGTCTGCATGCTGGCCGTGTATTCCAGAACTCCACGGTTCAGTCCCCGGCGAAGGCGTTGCTATTTTTTCAATCTTGCCTGCTTCCAGAAATACCAAATGTCACTACAAAGTCATTGACGAAAATAATAATTCCCTTGTAAAAATTAATTTTGCAGTTTCTTTCTTTTGCACTTTTTATGTTTGGGTATATAGTCATAAATAATTTCTCTAAAAACATATAATTTTAATTGTAAGATATGCCACTGCACATAAGGAATATTTTCTGCATCTGTCGGAAGATGATAATGCAATGTTAAAATTATTTTGGGGAACATTTATTTAGAATAATGTATAACTCTTCATTTGTCTAAGAGTAGTAAATATTTAATGCAAGTGGAGATAAAGGCCTAGTTTTAAAAGATGTAATTTAGTAAAAATTTCAATTTGCTGAAACGTTTTTATTTTTTCCTTTTCAGATTCAGCCTTTTATCAACACCTCAAAATGCACATACACGTCATTGCGTGGTTATTGTGCTGTTACGCCATCTCGAGTACAATGGCCTCTACATCCTTTCCAATCCCGACGGGTGGCCATCACCTACTGCTCCAGCACTCTCCCGTCGCAGTGGCTTTGCCACCAGTAACCCGTAGACAGATGGAAGTGTTGCCATCGCAAGAGAGAGAGCCGTCTTGTTCAGAACTCCGTTCCATGTGGCGGCATATGAGGCGGATGGGCAGACAAATGGAGTTCACGAATGAAATTCCGAAAATGCAGGACCCTTTTACGACTAGCGCGATGCGATACGGGGGTGGGAGGAGGAGACCCAGCAAATACCCGGATCCCAACCCCTACAGTGCGGCCAAGTCTTCCAGCGCAAGCAAAGATACCGTCTTCCAACGCAAGACAGACTTCGTCCATTCCCCTAAAGGACAATTCGGGGAAATTGTGCAGGATCCCAATGAGCTGTACGGTCCCAACAGAGTGCTGAGCAATTCTGAAACTTTAGGTTTCCATGAGTTTGATGATTTTCAGGGACCGAAGTTAATGAGTGGAACCCGTCGTATTCCAGGAAGATTTGCAGATAGTTCCTTACCTGAAGAATCTCTTGGTGTGTACGGAACTGTGGTACATTCACCTGAAGAGAGGGATCGCTTTAGAGCTAGGACCAGGAGACCGCCAGATTTCCGGAGTAGGTAAGTTACAATCTTAAAATCTTTGATTTCCATGAGGTATAAATCCGCTTTTTAGAACTCTGTGAAATTAAGGTTTTGCAGTTATTTCGCGGTAGCGGACACTTAGCAGACAAGTACTTAGCCAACAGGACACTTAATCGACACCATTTAGCCGTCAAGATATTTAGCCGACAGGACACTTAGCCGACATGGACACTTAGCCGACAGGACATTTAGCCGACACGGACACTTAGCCGACAAGGATAGTTAGCCGACAGGACATTTAGCCGACACGGACACTTAGCCGACAAGCACACTTAGCCGACAGGACACTTCGCCGACACGGACAGTTAGCCGACATGACATTAAGCCGACAATGAGTCTCGCTCTTCCCCATGCTTTTAAATTTTTAATACTTTCTCATTTCATTACTAGTACTTTGCTCAACACATCACACTACATTCATTCCCGTATAAAGTCGTTTCGCTCCTCCCACTGATGAGATTTCCTTTCCCTGTCAGGAAGTAGAGTGATTCGCCCTACTCCTCGCCACACTGGAACTACTTTTGTTACCTAAAATACTATTTACACGCTCAGAATGCTAGTTACAGGTTAGGCATCACATATTTATTAATCTGGGATATGCCTCCGGCACGGCGGCCACCTAACAAAAGTAGGTTTCGTTTATGTAATTACGTCAAAGCCAGAGGGTTATCTGCCGAACGGGAGGGATACCTTCGTGGAGGACTTTCTAAGGAAAAACTGGCTCGTATACATGGGGAAAACTACGAAAACACCCATGCAGCTGTCCGTTCGCGGGATTCGAAATTCGGACCGAACTGTCAGTGTTCTACCGCTAAGCCACTGCTAGGCCTAATAGAAATAGAGTGACCGTTTCACTTAATATATAGCCAGTCTAAAAAGTATAATTCAAGAATAACAATATTTTTTTTGCATTATTCATATTTTCATGACAGGGAAAGGAAATTTCATTAGTGGGAGGAGCGAAACGATTTTGTAATAATGTAACATGATGTATTGAGTAAAATAGTAATCAAACGTAAAAGTATCAGGAATTTGAAAGCATTTGGAAGAGCGAGATTGGAAAATTAATATAATTAATTAAACAAGAAGAATTATTAATGATGTGAAAGTGTTCAAAGGAACCCAGCTGATTAAATGAAGAAGCTTTACGGATAATTTTTGAAGATCACAAATGTAATTAAGTCACCACCGTACTTAGCTAAAAAAAATTCGATTTTCCTTTCGAAATTTAATTCATATTCCCTGATGAGAAATTTCAGCGCTTTTTCAATTTGGCCAATATATACAAACAGCACGATACATATCTAAATACAATTCTATATATTATTCTAATACGATACAATTCTAAATTGTCCCAATGATTAAAAGCACATATGAGATCTTTAAGAATTGAAAAATGAATTTTACTGATAGGTAAAAAAATCACCTATCAGTAAAATTAATTTTGGATATTTCATCGTGAAAATATGGATAAATCGAGAAATTATTTAATTCATAGTAAGTTTAAGCTTAGTGACCTGTTGACTAAATGTCTTGGCAGTTAAGTGTCCCGCGGGCAGTTGAAGAGGAAGTGATCTGCATCACCTACCGCACCACATTCACACAATTCTGATGCTCGTTTGCCGAATCTCTTAAGATAATGTGGAAAGGGACCATGGGCAGTGTAGAATTGAGTTTGTGCTCCGTTGTATGTACTGCATTTAAAAATGCCACGCAGTGAATACTGGCCGCAATGGGCGGAGAATACCTGCGGCAACAAGCAGACGAAAACTAAAATAGAGGAGGTAATCAGGCTATGTTCAGCAAGGTACTAAGAAATTCTCTCCCTCCCTTGAGAATTTTATCTTCGCAGCATAATTTTAATAGCAATTCAAAATACTACAACAAATGAAAATCAGCACTTGAAAAATAGCTCACCCCGTAGAATAGTAACAGGGCTGTAAGAGCAAAACTATTGTAATGTAAGCATATTACTATCCAGTCTGTATGCACTTGATAAAAATAATATTGTAAAGCAGTTTAAATGATATTGAAAATCCAGTCAATGTGCAAATGAATTACAAGTTTACTTTGATTATCTCAGTAAAAGTATTGTAAATGTGAATTCAGATAATGTTTAAATGTACACATAGCTGTCATGATTTTATGTAACTATCATATGTAACTTGTACAAGACAATGTTTGTAATCAACATATTTATGCTTATACACAGGCCTTGTATGCCCATGTAATATTTATATTTATATTTTTACAAGGAGGGAATATTCCCTTCTGCCAGGATGGCTATTAACACTGTAAGACTTTCACAACTAAGTCATGTCAGTGTTTATCTTAAGCGGCGCTCAGTTAAGTGTCGCGTAGATAAATGTCCTGACGGCTAATTCTCTATGTCGGCCAAATGTCCTGTCGGCTAAGTGTCCTTGTCGGCTAAATGTCCTGCCGGCTACGTGTCCGTGTCGGCTAAATGACCTGTCGGCTAAGTGTCCGCGTCGGTTAAATGCCCTGTTGGCTAACTGGTGTCGGTTAAGTGCCCCGTCGGCTAAGTGGTTGTCGGCTAAGTGTCACGGACCTGTTATTTCGAACTCGTATCCTTACCAACCATATTACAGCTGAATATAAACACTATAAGCCATTTCTACTGTCAACCCGAAATCTCAAAAACTAGATTTAAACTTCTTGGGAAACAAAGCGTTCATATGCTGATGCTGATATAAAACATTTAATTTATTTAGGTTGTAACGTTGCGCGCCTCCAACTTGCACGCAACCAAGGGGTGACTGTGAAAACAGGATAAAACACAGAGTCTTGTAAAGGGTTTAAGTCCCTTTTTATTCCACGTAATAAATTACAATTGCGTGCTCTTGACGCTTACAGACGGCGCCAACTCGGCGGTCAAATAAAAATAATAACCTGAAAAGAACTTAAAGACAAGACTCTAACTACGAGGCTCTCTAAAATAACTAACTCACCGCGTTTTACAATACCGCTGCTAATTCAGCAGACTTGAAGCTCACTTGGACGATTAACACTACTTCCCGCCAAGCACATAGGCCGAAACACTGGGTTCTTCAATTTCTCGCTAACTACCTCCGCGCTCGTGAAGTAAGAATATCACACACCGAACTTGTTTCCTTCCTATTTAAATCAGAATACTTCAGCTGATAATTTGAATCCTTGTGCGTTCTACTAAAATTTACATATTCTGGCATTGGCAGTTCCAGGGGAAAGTAAGGCTTGACAGGAAAGATAGTTTAAACTTAAAATAAATGTTAGTTAAAATAAATATAAACCCTACAAGGTAGAAAATAACAAATTCTTTCATATAAAATTCGGGCATATTTGTTTAAGAAAATTATGCAATAAAATATTAATTGTAAACTATCATTAGATTTTCTTACGTAAATATCTAATTCGGCTTATTTCTTAGAAGACTCCGTTTAGATATGCTGATGAACAATAAATCGGTTACTTAATATCTAAAGAGTGTGGAAACATAAAATACAAAAATAATGTGTAAAAGAACCCAATAAACCAATACAAATACCTCTAATAATACTAGCTTATCATTTTGTGACTTTCATAATAGATACACTGAAACTTTATCATTTTCAGGTACCGAAATCAATGGAGAGACAGCACGGGTATCGGTCGGGTGCCTTTCAGGGCTACAAAACCTCACTCCCAGTACCACTATGGCAGCGTGGTAACGCATGGCGAGCGGCACCCCCTTGGAGGATTTGCCGAGTTTCCGCAGGAGATTGGCCAGCGGACCGGTGGGGGAGCCCGCGTGGAAAGGATCGATAAAATTCCTTTCGCAGGAAAGTTAAAGGTGAGTTTTTCCCATTTTTATTTCCGATTCTCGTTGCACTGAAAGATGGATCTGAATTTTTCATATTATTTTCCGCCACATTCTTATCTCATAAGCAATCGCTACTGTGTAATGGAATTAAATTAGTGATTTGCTCAATCAATAAACTCATCGGTTCAGTTCTAGATATAGATAAGCTTCGCCTTCATGCAAATGTATTATATTCGCTTGCACATACATATAATTCTTTCAACACCTCTATTATACTTTTCTGAGGGCAAACTGCTCAATCTGGTAAAAATACACTGAATTTTTTTATATACAGAACAATGCAGCTTGAAAGGAGACCAGTTTTTAAGTAAGAAATAAGAGAATGGCATTGGTGAGAAATTTATTACCAGTATGATAACTAACTGAACGATTTAAAATTTAAAAAAAATCTGAAAGGTTTCAGATATTAAATTACGTCCAAAGGGGCGTGTTTTTTTAACGTTTTTGTGTGTTGTCTTTATTTATTAAATATCATGTTCTTTGCACTTAAACTATAAAATTCATTTCAATAGCAAAGTCGCAAAATAATTTTAAAATGAGCCTATCTTTAGAATTTCCGATACACAGTTCCGCGCGCTGGAGATAAAAAGGTTTTTTTCTCCGTAGAGTGTTGCCATTGCTCGCTTTGAAATCCTTGAGTTTGTTAATAAAAAATTCGTTAAAAGTTTACAAAATATGAAATCGATAATAAAACAAATTCCAAATTTCAAATGTGGTCTTCCACATGTCCATATTCGTAGGAGGATTACGTCATTCAAAATTCGATGGCTCTATGTACCGTTGTTTTATCACAATGCGAGAAATATACACACTTTTATGCATATTTTGCATTATTTAATTTTTTCAAATATAATGCAGGACTTAAACATTGGGTGGCAACAGTTTGAAAAGTGAAACGGACATTTATAGTGAGGCAACGCAAAATCTCAAAATGGAAACAATAGTCGTTCAGGGACAAAGTCCCTTTGGAGTAATAATTTGAAACTTTCTGTGGAGAAAAATGTTAGTTTTCTTAATCAAAGATTTATTTTCCATCGTTTCTGATAATCATTACTTAGCCTTTCTCTAAATGTTAAGCCCATTTAAGGCTGAAATAAATTTTGACATTATAAGGCCAGTACATAAGTAATCTCTAAAATTTAATGAAGCAGAGCTATGATTTGCAAGTACAGACGAGATGGTAACTATCATTATTGATTTATGATTACTGATAAACGTCTTATTTATATATATACTTAATACATAAAAATAAGAATATTTCGAAATTTTTTGAGTCGTTACCTTTATTATGTTACATTACATATGCTATTGTGCAATATCATCCACTGCAATCGCAATAGCAACATTTGATATTGCGATTGCAATAGCGAAAATTGTCATTACCTGTATTTTCCTTGGAGAAGATTCAAAACCTTTAGTTTATCTTGCACGTAGACACACTCACATTTATTTTTAAAAGTACTGCCATCCGCCAAAGCATAGGTCATCAGTTTAAATTCATATTTAATTAATCAAAAACTGTTCAAAATACTTATATACTTTGCGATTTTAAACAATAAACTTACTTCTTAATAATTTAAATTCTCAATTTATTTTTAATATATCTAAGCGATAAAATAAAATACTTAAGCCTTTAATTCTTACTCTATTTAATTTATCATTAATATTAGCAAAATTACTGTGAATAATAAATTAAATATATCAAGAACTTGCTAGTACAGAAGTTTTCTTTTTTTTTTTCTTTTTACGTTTATGCTTTTTGTTTTCTACTCATTTTTGTTTTTATTTTATTTTTAAAAGAATTTGTCATCTTGAGACTCCGTAATATTATGTTGAAACCAGAAGCTTTTCTTTTACAACTGCTGGTGTTCATTTCATGGACAATGGACTGTGACTTGAGCGACATCATCTTTTCTACTTGAAAAATCCAGAAACACAATTTCATTATGATTACATTTAAATGAATGTCAGGTTTTAAACATGATTTTAGTGTTTAATTAGGAAAAGGCCATTGTTATAACATTTTCACACTGGTGTAAAGATATTAGTTTTCATTTAGTTGCAGTTCTGATAAGCTATGTCTCAAAAGTGTTTAGATATGAATTGCATAGCGTACATTGAAGCTCCATTTTTTATCAATTAAAATTTATTCAGAACCCCGCCCATATCTCAGAATAATTTCAGTTTCATGAAAATATTTTTGGACTTAATGATCATGTAGACTAAAACTGACTACCTAATTTCTGAATGCTTAAATTTTCATCCAAGGGAGTCGGTTAAAGATTTTAAAACGAATATGTATATCAGTTTGACCCAAACTCTACTATACATTCATATTGGATCTAACCTGGCGTTATGATGAATATATTCTATTCAAATCCGTCAAGCCTTTGCATCATTTCATTCATCATGAGGTAAACTAAACTGAATGCCTCGCAAGGTATTAGAAGGCTCTTTAGATTTCGGACAAAATTTAAGTATTTATTCATATCGGATCACGGAATATTTGGATTCGTATTTGGATAACACAAACTATGGAATATTTCGCATGCTTTCATTCTGCTTTATTATCAGGACTATGGTTTAGCTAACATAAAAGAATATTTTAAATTAATGAGAAAAATTTACTGCACTCGTCGAATTCATTAAACGAATTATATGCTTTGAAAATTAAGATTTAATAACATGAGTTCTCTAATTTCCATTTCAATAATATATGTATTGTGCAGAGTATGGTTTCATTGAAATAGTATAACTCCACTAGAAATTGTACGGAGTTATACAGTCTCAAAACTATTTATTTGAAAGTATGCAAGTAAACTGGGAGATAAATTATAGCCTTTAGCAATAAAACATATTATAAGCTCAAAATAGTTCAAGTAAATACTTTTTAATAGAATATTTGTTTTAATCAGAAACATTATAGGAATCTTGGACCCAAGCGTTAAATCAAAAAATAAGCAATATTATTTATTCAGTAACAAAGAAAAAAGTTTACAGTTTCTGCTTTCTACAGATACAAGTGGGACGTGACATTAAAAATTCACCATTGACTGTACAATTGTAGCCCTGCAGCACTAGCTGTTAATCTCCGCCCAATTTTTGTAGAGAAAACCCCGCTAGACTGCCCAAGGTTCTCCTATCCTCCTTCCCCTACCATTAAACCGGAACTTTCGGCTCGCGGAGTACTTTGAAGTCCCCTATGCCGCACAGACATTATACACTTAAAAATACACTTAAAAAATCCATGTCTCCTTTGAGATTCGAAGCCGAAACCAACTATAAATGAGAAAAACAGATTCTAGAAGTTTATCTGTAAAAGGTACATATTTCAAAAGTCATTATAAAAATTAAATGTATGCTTCTAAAATAAGACCTACTTATTCAATGAATAATATCATTAAAATTTTAAAATTTCTGCAAATATTTCAAAAAAAAAGCATGCAATGTTTATTGCTTTCACGTGGCACATGTAGCAAAGCGTAAGATCGGAAGTAGAATTATTTATTAAACTCATTTATCGCCTGAAAAATGGAAATTCGTTGCCACTATATAAGTTTATAAGTAGTTTAATACTGGCACTTTAGTCCTATAATCTTACTAGATAGGCAGCGAGTTCTAGCTATGTCTGAAAGAGCATGACGAGACTTACAAAGGTTCTAAACAACCTTTTATTTAACTTTCAACGAACCAGTTTGTGGCTACGCAAATTAAGCAAAAAAACAGTGAAAATACTTTAAACTTTGATCAGTAGCCTAAGACTGCGCTGCATAGTTAAAAACTGAGCTAAAGCTGGTTCAGAGATTTTTTAAAAGCGGATAAGTTTAAAATATCTTCTGCGGGAGAAAGGAAGGCCGGGATAGTTAGATTTAGCTAGGACTGGCACAAAGTTAATCACGCTACGCGAGTGCTAGAAACTCTCTCTCTGACAATCCAAAAGCTTTAGCCTCAGCAAACCTACAAGCTAATTTGCATTTTGATGAGGAATACAGAAAGAAGAAAGAACCTGATAACTATATAGAATTATTTAAATAATTGTGCAACCAATTTGTAATCATAAAAGACATTCTTGGTTTCATTAATCTAGAGAAAGTTTTAGTAAAATATATATGACCATAACTGACTCTACCTTTGTATCCCCATACTGCAAAATAATTTAAATTCCATTAAGACAATGCAATGCGCAACAATGTAACACCTATGAATAAATTCAAAAAAGAAATAGAAAAGAAGAGTGGTACAAAATATCGGCTTTGTTGTCTCACAAATGAATTGATGTGCTTTAGGACTGCATGAAAGGGAGTTTTATACTCTCGATCACAAAGAAGTAATGGCCTATGAAAAGTAATACCACGAAAGGAATGGGAGATGTTTTCCATAGAAAAGTAAGAAATGCTGTTTTTGTAATCTATGTGCAAACTGATAGCTAAGGAACAAGGTGCCACTCTGAACAATTAGGAATATAATATTCATATTGTAGCGTCACTAGGTTATATCGATGCTGGAGACGTGAAAAATTTGCAATGCCATAGCCTGGATTCGAATTCCGGACCTCCACGCTTCGAGTGTGCTTCCAGTTATACCACGATAGCCTTGCGGAAAGAACGGCGAAAATACCTAAAAATATTACAATTAGCGATTTTCCTATAATAAGGCGCTCAAAAATTTAGGAATCTTTCTAAATCTCAATGAATGTGTAACAGTTTTTGAAATTGTTATTGTTACCAAACTCACTTATTTGACAAAGGTCAGCTTCTTCTGACCAGCCCACATATTCATAGCGGCAAGGAGACAAATGAGCCAATCGTTGGCAAAAGCCTTGTGCACCATACACATAGCTCAGTTCCACCTGCCAATTTTGTGAAAGAGCACCCCTGGGGGGAAGAGCCCGAAGGTCTTTCACTTCTAATCATCTACCACGAACCTCTCGAGAGGAGTTTCGGCTCGCCACATAGTTAGAGTGTTCCCAT